GGGACAAAATTAATGCACAACTATGCAAAAGTACTCAGAAGCACATTCCGACTCGCAACAGTTCGCTGGAAAATGTTTATATATTTATTTTCAAATTTGTGTCGCTTTTGCCTTCGCCTGAAGTTAGAACCGGCCTAAAGACTTTTTAATGGGTTTTCTGCGTTCCTATTCATCCAAAGTTAATAGCATCATCCACATTATTGGAAGATACGTACATTTTGTGTTGTGCACACGTAGAGATACGTTCCATCGAGAGTGTATGTTAATATAGACTGTTTCCAACCTCTCGAGGTGAGCCATTTGCAAGACGTTTTCCAGAATTGGAGCCAAGGGAAAATGGCCCAACAGATAACCGAGGAAGCAAGTTTTTATGGTGCAACGAGATAAAGAAATCAATATTTGTTTTGTAACACATTACGAATTAAATCTACAAATATTATTACTATCAATTAGCCCCCCGAAAAATATACATATTCATAATCAGAAAGCAGTCGCACGTTTTGCGTTACTTTGGCAACAAATACCTGCGTTTTCGACCGAGTAAGTTTTAAATGATGGTCATATACCGGATCCAGGACAGAAAGCCCGTGCTGCAGTATATATCAATGGAGAAAACAACTGCAGTATACCACCAGTTTGCTGTAAATCAATCTCGGCCGGTGTACAAGTAGACCCGTGCAGTTGAGCCATTGTAATGACTTCCGGCTCCCCCACCCACGTATACTCTACCAAAGAGTGACCTCGTACCCGAGAGCAGAGGTAGAAAGAAAGTACTTTCCACCTGCACGACAAGGGTTTGTCCCAACGACAACGCTACTCCAGTGCTAGATATTTTCAACGTCAACCGCTGGCCTTAAATTGAACCCTACCGCATGCCGGGTGCAGCCCTGGCCGAGAGCGGTCGGTCACTTACTGAAGGAATCTCGCTGGAAAAATTAACACCTCAACGGGTTGTTATTTATTGTATGTCGTTCATCCTTGTGCCTGCTGCCTGTCGCGCGCAAGCTCATGCGGTGTGAAATTCTGGCACGGCATTTTCCTTCCTCTCGCTTCATTAAATCCGCTCCGACGATGGCCTGGATGGATTCAAAAGCGGGGGTTCGAAAGTGCACTTTCGACCGAGGTTATTTTAGACGCTCTCGGTGCCATCAGAGTGCAGATCTTTCTTAGAGAGCGACAGTGTATATGATGGAAATAGAAAGAAGCCGAGAGGGAAAAGGACAGGTCACTTTGGAAAAGGTCGAAAGAATGACGACTCCTGGATAGGGATACGAAGGAAATAAAAATAAAAATCAGGAATGAAGGGCGCACGGCATTTGCTTTGATTTCTTGATAGCATTCATGGTGTAATTATGTACAGCTCTACGGTCAACTTACAAGAAAACACCAAAGCCTCTAAAAAGGCTGCATGATTACGGTCTATATACGTCTAACGACTTATGACGCAGAGGACCTACATTTTTATTAAGCTTAATTACTCATGCATTTGGAAAACAAGTAACAAACACCGCGGGGCAGTTGTAAGCGTAGTGGGTAAGTGATCGCGAAGACGCGCTCAGGTGAAGCAGCCACGTGCCACAGATAGCAATTCAAAAATAGCAAAGGGGGAAATAAAGTGAACACCGGGGTGCCTATTACCGCCCCCGAGCAGTGTGTTTGAGGTTCTACCGACCTAGTTCTCGCATGTACTGTTTGGTGTCAGTGGTGTAATCTCAGCTACGTGTGAAATGCTCTGCAACGCGCAGACAAATGCGTGGCCATCTTTTGCCGTGGCGCCTTGGAATCGTGGTGATTCACAGGCCATAACAGGAACAAGTTTAACATGGTAGGAAAGTTTAAACCAAATATTTCCCCTCAGAGGGAAACAGCGAATCCTTTGTTTTTTGTTAGTGTTGCTGTTCACACGGTGAATGTAGTACCATAGGGTTAGGAGCAAATCACATTTATTGTAAATGCTAACTTTTTTCGGAAGAGCACCCAGGACTCATCCACAAATGGAGTGGCGAGTTTATCGGTTTTGAGGCATTTGTTTGATCACTGGCGCTGTTTCATTCAATTAGAAGACTAAACTAAATTCGAACGGTCTTCAGGTTTTAAATCAAACCCTCTGCACTATAGGCAACGCAATAGCGTGACCCACGACCAATCCAGCTGACCAAGAAACGTTACGCATGAGCATTTCCACGATGTCGATGTGTTTTTGTGCAAGTCGAAAAGTTTACGCCATGTGCAGCCGAAATTAGGATTAACAACAGGACGTGAGCAATCGTCATGATTCGATCGCGTTCTCAGAAAAATTAATTCGAGCAAGGGAGTGAATGCAAGGCCCATCAATGAGGGGAGACAAGTCTAAAACCACATACGTGGATAACAGATGGATTTCTAACAGGGCAGCTCATCCTTCACTCGCGGATTACAACTAAACAACACCCACCAGACATAATAACACCACGCTTGGACACTATTTACATCCCATCACCTTCGTTTTGTACTTTTTTAATGAGACAACCTCTTTTCACGGAATGAGCTCAGTACTGCGGGGGCAATACAAAACAGGCGTTGCTGAAGATCACGGGCTTATCCGTGTGCAGCGCAGCTGACAACGGGAAAGTCGGCGGTTGCTCGGGTTCGTTGGCCAAGTGGACACGGTAAAAACCAAGATCTTAAGAACTGCCGGCTGGGACGGATGTTTGAATCACCCCGGCAAGCCAGCCGCGGCGTTAAAGACTAAGCCGATTTGGAACCGTGGCATTCAGCTGACGACTCTAACTTGTTTGTCGGCAGAGCTGAGAGAGAAGAGAAAAGAGAGGTGGGAGGGAAAAAAGAAGAGAGAAAACACGAATGCACGTTTATTTATAAATATAGCAGTTGATTTCCGGTTGTGGGTTCAGTGTGAGAAGGCGGACGGTTACCCAACCAGAAGTAATGCACAAAAATAATCTTGCCATTGGCTCGGCCAAATCGTAGCTTCGGGGGAGACAGCTGGAAAGAGACACAGAACAAATTCTTATTTCAAGCTGCAAGGTGGATGACCCTTTGAAATCGCGGCGATGTTTATTGGGAACTGCTACAAGACGTGGGAGATGATTTTTAATTGGCCCTTTCTCGACGGACGAAGAATACTTTATGTACACATATCTGGTCTTTTATAGTTGTGTTTCATTAATATTAAATGTCATAGTACTTTCACAGAGAGCACAATTTTGCCTTTAGCCATGACTACGAACCGGTCATTTTTGTGGTATTTTTTCTGTTCCGTTGATATATGCAGTATGGCTTCAGTTGACCATCTACGGTTGACCTTTTGACGGGTTAAAAAGGAAGTCTTACATTTTGTCAGAGTTTGAACCACATGTTTAAACTTTGCCCAATTTCTAGAACAAAAAAGGGTTATTGCAAAAACACAGCGAGCACAGTTGTTCTGGCATGGCTGCCAGACACAGCCCGCGAGGAATTCTTTGGCTGGCGTGCACCTTCCCGGGTTCCTGGAGGTCACGCCGTAACACCTGTATAGGAATCACAAGTAGGACTTTCCCTTGTTTTCATTTCTGAAACCCATCACCGTAAAAGTGGCCCAGATTTCGGCCCGGCCCCGTTGTTTCGGCCCTGAAAACAACAGACCGGTCCAGGGGTGGTACAGTACTTGCACCAGGATCCCCGGTCGGTGGAAAGTGTCCCCCACCAAGGCAATCTCGAAATGCCTGAAAATCGTCTTTTTTGAATTACGACCTGAAAGACAATCCAGACTAATTTGAACTCAGTGTCGTCCCCCGAGCTTGGAATTTCTACTCCCACCACCCTTTAACGAGATACGTCTGGTTACTTCGATGGCAGCAGAGGCTCGGAAATTATGCGTCAGGGAGGCTGCGAAATCAAGAATGGACCGAGTAGTTCCCGGTCATAAGAGCGATGACTTTTTTGACGAGGCAGGTGTGTAAAATACGACACCTCATCGTGCCAACACATCTGTTTCGACACATGCGCGTGTTAACAATTTGACCGATTTGCTTATCGCCACTCAGAAGCTTTGATCTGACGCCTTTGGTCGCTAGGGCAATAAAAACCAATTTCTCCTGACTGTCAAAACTCTTGATGAATCGCAGACAAAACTCCAAGCTAAATTAGTATTCTCTGGAGACGGCTGTCCTGGTAGTTGCGGCGGGTGGTTGTTCAGCTTATGTGCTTGACTGCCTGTGTTTTAGTTTCAAGCGAGAATATATATGCAAGTGCTGGGTATGAAAAGGCTGTGAAATTTGGTACTATTTTTTAATACCAAAAATAGTTCCTTGAAGTGTTGCATTAGCATTCCGGAATTCAGCTGGATTGGAATCAGCTGTTGCTGTAGATAATTGGAATTCTGTATACGCAAGTGTTTCCTTTTCGCTACTGTGTCTTTATGATGAATGGCTAGCATATTTTGTTTTGGTTCATTAAAAAAAAAAATTTAAATCCAGCCACGTGGGTCCCCTTGCCGCGGGGGATTCTTGTCCGACGGGGGTTAGTTTTGAAGGGCGACAGCTGTGCAGCATACCGGTGAGCAAGGACCCCGCGGTCGGCAGAGCTCCACCACACAGGGACCTTGGGCGTGGTAAACAGCCCTCAAACTAGTGGTTTGGTCTGTAACTGTCAGTGCACCTCGAATCACTGGGCCTGTGATATAAAACTTGCCAGCATCAGACGGGCGGTTATCCAGTAGGAAAGAGCCGAGAGCTGACGGTTGTTCGATAGGTATTCGTTCTTCACCCTGCTTGCTTACGGTGCCAACTCCACTTGTACAGTTCTGTTTCTCTATTAGTTGTACGTCAGATACGATGCATTATGTAAAGAAGTTTGCTAAGGAAAATAGTACAAATTTATTAGCTGATAATACCGTGTGTTCCTTCTTCCATCATATTACTACCGTGACGCATCATGCGTCCTCTATTGCCTCATGGAAATGAAGGTATTTCAAATGTTGGTCTATTAATACGAAACTTGACTCTGTTTTGTTCCTCTTCCAGTTTCAAACAACGATGTTTTCAGCAAGTCAGAGCAGCACCATGTTTCAGCTCGCTAAGGCCGCAGTCGGCTCTCGCCCAGTCCAGCTCTACCTTTGCCGCATGACCTGTACATCCAGCCCAGCCAATGCGGCACAGGCCGGGGTGTGTCCGATGGCTAACAACCAAGACATGACGGAGGCCACAGCTGATGTGGCTTTGGCGTCAGCGCCACAACCGCGGACAGGGTCTGTCACCGGGCCCAACGCGCTATCGACGGCCAGACCATATGAGGAGGTGCCCGGTCCCAAAGGACTGCCGGTGTTGGGTACCCTGCTTGACTACACGAAACTCGGTTTGTAAACAAATATTTCTTTCATCTTTCAATTTAAGCGTCTCTGCAAAATAGAGCTTCCATCAGAGCCGATATCGTCGAGGAAAGACCAATGCACACAACCAACCAACCAACCAACCAACCAACCAACCAACCAACCAACCAACCAACCAACCAACCAACCAACCAACCAACCAACCAACCAACCAACCAACCAACCAACCAACCCACCCATCAAACCACCCACCCACCCACCCACCATTGGTCACGTATAACTTTGTCAAAAGTAGAATGCACTGCATGCCTATGAATCTGCTATGTTTCCTTTCGCTCCATTCTGCATGTGTCGCTCTTCTCTTTCTGTGCAAGACTGTAATGCCTTCTGAGACATGCAAATGATGAGACTTGCCTTTACAGGGGACTATTCCTTGGAGAAGATGCACGAGGCCATTGTCGACCGCTTCAAGAAGTACGGGCCCATCTACAAGGAGAACATAGCAGGGGCGGAGGCTGTGCACATCCTGGATCCAAAGGATGTGGCGGATCTGTTCCGGAACGAGGGCAGGACGCCGCGCAGAATCATCATGGAACCGATGGCATTCTACCGGAAAATCCGCAAAAAGAACGCCGGTATTGCAAACCTGTAAGTGTTGGTGCAGGAGAGATTGTGCTGCGCCTTGCCGCCCAGTGCGAGTGAAACTGTTAACCAATTATAGCAATAGGTCTGATATTGATGGGCATCTGAGTAAGAAACAAGTAGTGCCCATACATAGCAACTTTCAACCTGATAGAGTATCCGCGTAAACTTACTCCACACTTATCACAAGCACTGCTGCTAAAGAATACAGGCGATTCTCAAGAGTGCGCCACCAAGAGTTTGCAACGCGTTGCCCAATCATAACGCGCGAAATTTGTCGACCCTTTCCAAACGCGCATTGGGTCGACAAATTTCGCGCACTGTGATTGGCCAACGCGCCTCAAACTCTTGGTGGCGCACTATTGTGAAACAGCTGTATTAAGTGGAGGCTGTGGGTCTTTCTACGAGGCTGAGTGTGGAAAACGCCTTCAATCGTGGACCTATAACAATGGGGGACAATAGGGTCCACGGTTGCCGAAGAGTCCACGGTTGGAAAGCGTGTACATAACATATGGGAGGTCTTCCGAAAAAGTTGAAGTATGAACAAAAGAGGAACAATAGGGAGTCCACGATTGAAGGCGTTTACACACTTGTGTGAGTTTGTGAAGTGTTTCCAGCCGAAAACAGAAAATCACTGACTGACTCCCAAATTAGATGGTTTTCTACACCTTTATCTGACTGCACATGACTGATATAAATCTTAGTCCTTCAATGTAGTGCCAGTAAAACTGTTGCAGTGACCCATTCGACTGCTGCGTAGGAACACAGTTTGCTCGTAGGTATCTATGTATTTAGTGCGGTGTACATTTTCTTTCCATCAATCAAGGCAAGGTGAACAGTGGCGGAAGTGGAGGAGCGCACTTCAACACATCATGCTCAAGCCAAAGAGCGTTGCAGACTGGATCCCAAACATGGAGGCTTGCGCCAACGACTTTATCGAAATGATGGCGGCCCGCCGAGACGACAAAGGCGAGGTACCAGACTACCTTGGCCAGATCCACAAGTGGGCTCTAGAATGTAGGTATCACGTACAGTTCTACACGCTGTGAAGTGTCCTCCATAGAATGAGCAAGAATGTTCAATAGTTTGATGTAATTTGCTCCCTGTTTTGGACTCTTGTGAGCTCTCATTTTCAAGCAAGAGCGGATAACAGAATACAAACTTTCAGACATCAATTCAATGGCTAACAATATCCCCGACGCATTTCCTCTTCCTGACAGCCTCTTTCTCCATCGTCTTCGGCAAGAGAATCGGGTGTCTTGACCCCAGCACAGACACTAACCCGGATGCAGCCAAGCTCATCTCCTCCACCAACGACTTCTTCACAGGTCTCTGTAATCTCACCTTTGGCTTCCCGCTCTACAAGTACGGCATCCGAACCAAGAAGTGGTCCAAATTCGCTAACGCCCAAGATCTCCTCTACAAGTGAGCCACTGTCCACAATCTTTATACACGTACATGTACATGTAGGTTGTACATGTACTCTACAGGGCGCACTTTGCAACCATCCAAAATGGGTCTCCCAAAAGGTCATTCGTTCCTCGTTCTCTTTAGTTTGTAAAAACACCAAAAATGTAATTCATGGCCCCACCAACACGAGACTCCCAAAAGGTCATTAGTTCCTCGTCTTCTTTAGTTGGTATTTCAGTTGGCCTGTACATAGGCCTAATGAATTGAAGTCTAAGAGTTTAACCCTCCTGGTTTTTACGTACACGTCTAAAGTTCCAAAAATTGACGAAGTTGTTTCTACAATCACCACGCAAGTGACCAAATGATAGGTTTCCCGGACAATACAAGTGATCAAATGATAGGTTTCCCGCACAGTTTTGAAAAATGGTTATTTGAATTTGTTATACTTACAACTGTTCATACATACAACTTCATTTTGGCGCTGATTTTAAAGAACGATGTATATCTTGATTTCATATTCGCAATAACTCACGTTTCATTTCATTTCGCATCATTCACACAAGGGAACCTTTTGTACTTGATTAGGCTTTCGGTTTGACGTGTTCGTTGCTTGTCATTATGAATATGCAATCCAATTCGCAGAAAATCGAATTTTCTGTTGTGACACAGGCTGAATTGGGACATTCTTTTTGCATTTGCTATAATTTGAATTCGCATCATTGTGCACCCTATTTAATTTAACTTTACAGGCCTTTACAAATCATGATACAGCTTTGATTGGTTCTGTAGGCCTACTTTATATGGTAAAAAGGCGTTTAGAGTTGAAACAAATTTCTAAACACTTTTTGTACCCACTGCTTTTAACAGGTTTCACCCACGACACGTTTGGACATTTACACTGAAATGAGTCTAAGTACGGTATGTGTTTCACAGAGCTAAACACGTGCCATGGAAAAGCGCTTTGCAAGTTGAAACTCATTCATAAACCATGTCTCTGTGTACAATATCTTAACACGTAATGTGTTAAACGTGTTAAAAATGGTTACAGTCTCGTGCAGAATGTATGTAAACTCTAACCGCTGTATTTACGGTGAATCATTAATGTGGTATTATATACACAAAAGCCGATGTGAAATGTTGGTAAATGAAATGTTAGAATTATATAAATCTGGCCAAAATTTATTGATTCAGTAATTAATCAGTGCACTGTAGGCCTGTATACTCGATCGTTAATGTGTTTGTTGTTATATTCCTCGCAATCATGTTACTTTTGTTGTCACATACGCCTATACGTGAATTCCAATACGTGACACGGCACGCGTGAAGTAACACTGCGCAGGAAATTGACAACAAATTTTGCGAAATAGCGAGATTGTTGACGAATTAAAAGGAGTACAGAATTGTGGGTGTGCTTTCGATTTCGACCTAAAATGAAATGTCAGCATAAATTCAGTGCACATTCAGGAAATCGTACGTCGAGGTTTTACGACTGAATGCACCTTCATGAAAAGAGATTCATAATTAGTTACATAGGCCCTTTTCCAATACTCGACTTGGGCTCCGTCTCAGGCTTCGTTCCCAAACCAATCCCCTATCGTGGGCCTGAAGCGTTAAGATCAAATTGGATTAATGTAATTTCTGGCTCTCGTGCATCTTATTTGATGTTTCGTGGCACTGTTAGACTAATTACTGCGCTTACAGCTTCAAAGTCAGCTAGTTAAAAACAGGTGAAGCCTGAGACGGAGCCGAAGTTGAGTATTGGAAAACGGCCATAGATACAGGGATTTTGAAGGTTCATTCTGTTTCACACGAAAATGAAATGTTTCTTTAATAAATCAAGTACACGTCTTCTAAAATTGTCCGTGAAAACATATATATGATGTCCTACTATACTTCTATTCTCCATTTCACGAGCCATCCACTTTGACTGTTTAATTAGCGTATACATGACGCTGAATGATTCCTTTCAATGTACTAATCAAAACATGTAGTACTTTGGTGGTTTACGTTACACCTGTCAGACTTGAAGTAGAAATCCCCTTTTTACATTTTGCCTTTGTTCAACTAGTCACTGTTTGTGAACATAAAACGTCACTCAACTCATGAATATTCTTTGAACGTTGAAAAGAACTTGTAGCAACCACGGATTAGAACTTTTATTAATCATGGAATAAAACCTTTTAGGTGTGTTGCCGTTTGGGGAGAATATTTCAATGACACTTAATCAACGACCCACAAGTCACTTAACCGGAGATTTACTCAGCCACCGTATATACTAAATGGCAAGTTTTTTCCTGAAATAACAACTTTTAACATTGTAATGACAAATCCCAGGAGATGCCGTTACTGCGGTAGCACATCATGCGTGCACGTGTTTCATGCGTTCTGATATCAAGGCCAGAGTGCTTTTTGACTAAGGCCCAATACTGGCCCAAAAGACATTGAATGCACACGTACGCAGCCTGCGTGGTAACCTTACAATAACGGCTTCTCGCTGTGGTCGCTGGGTCAGTCCATAGGTTAAAACTTACATTTTAGTGGTGCTCTCCGCATTTAACTACATGTACATTTTCTTGGAATTCAACAGCACAGCAGTAAAGTACATTCACCAGTACATTGAGGAAATGAACAACCGTGACGCCACATCACCTGCAGACGGTCAAAAAGACATAGGAGATGAGCAAGCCACAGTTATAGATTATCTGTTGAGAAGGGGCACCCTTGAGTTTGAAGATCTCTGCACCTTAACCAATGACTTGTTGTTAGCAGCCATAGACACGGTAAGAGAGCCTTGTTTGCTCTCTTTTACATCATAGCTTGTTGTTTTCGGAAAGCTTCCGATTGCAAAATACAATTTTTTTTCTATAAAGATTGTCGAGCTAGTTGGAAATTACAAGGTACAATTTCTGAAAAGGTGTGGTTGGACCTGTAGTTACAGTGTACATGTATATCGCTTTTGGTCTTCCTAAATAGTGGTTTTTTTCACGACTAATGGACCATGTAAAAATGTTGTGAAAGTTTTTCCTGAATATCAACCATGCTTTTATTTGGCTAATTGTTTTAATTCTACAGACGTCCAATCTCATGGCATTTTGCCTCTACTGTTTGGCGAAAAACCCAGAGGTTCAAGAACGACTTCACGAAGAGGTTAATAGAGTTCTTCCAGCCGGCACGCCAGCAACAGCAGAGGCGCTGCAAACTATACCGTACCTTAAAGCAGTTGTCAAGGAGACGACAAGGTAAAGGCGGGAATTCTCTTTGTTTCTGTCGCTGAGGACGACTAAGAATATTTCAATTTCCTCAATGGATGGGATGCCAGACCATTTGCAGCCCGTTTGAGGCTTGGCGGACATAATATTGGGGGCGCCATTTGGTTCTGTTAACTTTTTTTTGCTTGCTTCAAATTTACCCACTTCAAATAGCGCCCTCCTTTGGTGTCCATCACCCTTCAAAAAGGCTAAAAAAGTTTAATCCCACTTAATTGCTGAATGATCATTAATCCCGAGTGGAGAAAGGCACGCAAGGTAGATACAGTTGCTTGCCTGAGGACACAACTCACGGCCAGCAGCTGAATGTATACCCCTGTCCCACTGATTTGACTTCAAACCCTATCGAACCATTTTCTCATGAATTTAAAAGTGTTAATGTTTACATGTTTGTTAGTGTTACATTCTAAAGTAACTCTAGTGTGTGGAGCATACGAGCGGTGTCTGTGCCGTGAGGGGGATTTGCATTAGAAGTGAATCATGACTTTGTCTCCCACACCAGTCGCTCTGGCGTCGCAGGCACCCTTGTGAACATGCTGGCAAGAAGGGTCGCAGTTTGCTTTCCAATTCAGCCTATTAAACGAGGGTTATATTTCTGTTCTTACACAGAGTTTTCCCGCCTGTAGATGGGACCAGCAGATACTCCAATGATGATATCGCAGTAAGAGGATACAGAATACCCGCCAACGTAAGTTTTTTTAACTTCTTGCAAGGCCGTCCCGCCAATTCAAACGAACAGAGAAAACGAAAAACATGCTAGCTGGCGACTGTTTTAAAGTGTTGGAGGCATATTTGTAACGCGCAAAGTACGACGAATGGTACAGCAAACAGATAAAAACCTTTGCGTTCATCAAAGGCAGATGTTTCTAACTCTTACAGTAACAAGGACTAAGAAAGTGCTAAGTTTGGAAGACTTTTTGACAAGAAAAACTTAAAACGATTTTAAGCGGCCATCACGCTGCATTACAAATCATGTATCATGACTAATCATGACAATGGAGTAAGAATGGCATGTATGTGAAATCTTCGAAGATCATTTAAGTTTTTGCAAATCTGCGACACTTGTTTCATTTTTTTTCGTTTTCAAAACAATAACGGCCATTTCATTCTCCGCCAATTGAGCTTATCGTGATTACAAATCAAGAGCTATGAAACCTTGCGTTGCAGACATTAGTACGGGTCCACTGCCTGTCTGGTCAGATGCCTCAGTACTTCAAAGAACACCACAAATTCAAACCGGAGCGCTGGATTCGAGGACACAAGGAGTTCGAGGACATTGACCCGTTCTTAGTGCTCCCGTTCGGCACGGGGTCCAGAATGTGTCTGGGACGCAGATTGGCGGAGCAGGAGGTGTACCTTCTGTTGGCAAGGGTAGGTTTATTATTTCATCATAACTCCATGTGTACAAGCCAGATTGTGATTTGCAAACCCAGCAAAATGATGCTGCGTTGTTCTTGAAGCGACTGAGTGGACGTTGACAATATGAAGAAATATTTATTTTATACTGACATCAATACCGCCCTCCCTTAAGTGCCTGTCTAAAACAAACCGACGTCTGTATTCTAGTTCCCAGACCAAAAGATTCTATTTGTGGGAATTTTTAGATCCGGTAGCCCTCACGAACACGAAAATTTAAAAAACACTAAAAAATCCAAATTGTCCAAAATTTTCCAAACCTTTTTTCGTTCATTTTACAATGTACAACTAGCCATTTTCCATGTTTTTTATGCTTAGTAAACAGCTGCATTTAAAAAAATGTAGCTGCAGCAACTTTTTCTAAGACATCTGGTTCTGCAACTTTAGACACTTGTTGATTACAATATCATGAAAACTATTCGATATCCCTGCTCGGTTAAATGCATCCAAAAGTGTGGTTTGCAACATTCAAAATTACTATGCTTGCCTCGACAGCTGAGGGCGCTTTTGAGACATCTGGTTCTGCAACTTTAGACACTTGTTGATTACAATATCATGAAAACTATTCGATATCCCTGCTCGGTTAAATGCATCCAAAAGTGTGGTTTGCAACATTCAAAATTACTATGCTTGCCTCGACAGCTGAGGGCGCTTTTTCTGTGATTTTTTCCCTGGAGAGGCATAGTTCAGTGGATAGTTTATTCTGCTCAGTGTGTGCTCAGTGAAAACATTTTTTATGAGAAAGGGTTGCTTGCTTGCTTATTGCTTTGAACTTTCACAACGATTCCCAACAGCAAAGAAAACTTTGGCCAAAATCTAAAAAAGCAGAATTTTTTGTGCACAGACCAATGAAGCATTGCGGTTTTCTTCCTGGGATGACATTACAGTTTGGCTCATGAACATGGAACTACACAGTAGCATATAAGCCAAAAGGGTAGTGAAATGCCCTTTAAAGTAATTACCATGGTAAAGAACTGGAAATGGGCTTAAGTGAGACACAAAGGTGCATTTTGGAAGTGTTCATAAAAACAATGCATTGCAGCTACTCCCATTAAATGCAGCATGTTGATGACGCATGCTGATGACTTTTCATGACATTAACCTGGCATTAACCGATTTTTTTTAACCGACGCGTGGTTACGTGACTTGACATTAGAGACAAGAGCTGTTAGGGCGGTGACCCGGACCACCTCTGTTCGTTGACGGATTGCTTTCTCCCTTTGTGCAACAAACAGCTGGTTCAGAGATTCACCATCGAGTGGCACCATGAGGACCTGGACTACTTGTTTCGTCTTACTAACGTCCCAAGTCGACCACTAGAGCTGACCTTCAATGATCGCGCATGAGCTGTGAACCTGGATCTTATCGCAAGACATGCGTGGAAGAAGCAAAGTGAACCCCTTCGGAGGAATTCTGTATCGATTCACTCCATTTGCCAAAATAGTAACCCTTGTTTTAATAAAAAAAATAATTTAAATAACGTAAATAATATCATTGAAAGTTGAACCTGCAGCCTTTGGGCGCCTTGCCATATACAGTGTATGCATTTTGGGTCTGCTCCGTATATGCACACCCATTTACTGTGTTTCACCCATGTATATTTAAGTTGACACACCACAGTTTACGTACACGCACCCCCCAAAGCGTAATGAAATAGTGTCCATGGAAAGGCACCTTTTACGAAACAGCCAATTCCATGTAGGCCTACCATAGCCAAAACTGAAAACATCTTCAAAACTACAGTAACCTTTACAAATACGATGTTTTGAACTACTGTTCGCAACATAGTGTCAACATGAAGTTGTGACTACCAGTTGAAAGTTCGTATGTGTGTGTGTGTTTGTAAATAAAAAAAGCTTAACATTTTCGTTAAAACAAATACTGGCAAGTGTTGGTTTCGTATTGGTATTTTATTGTATAGACAGGCCATAAAACTACCGAAAGATGTTCTATTTACAAGACGACGCGATGTGCTGTTATGACGTATTTTCAGCTTTCGTTCTTGACGATGGGCTTGTGCATTTTTCAGTACAAGACCGGATCGGGAAAATGTACGTAAAATAGTAAAAAGTAACAGACAATCGGAAAGAAGCGGGTTGAATCTTGAGACCTATATCCCTTCCCATTTTCCTACTTATTTACTCTAAACGTGTCCCACACATCATAAACCGATATTTTTCTCTAAGTTGTTGTTTCAATGTAAATACGAAAAACGAGAAATGCACCCTTTCGATAGTTGTTCCGGTGTATAAAAACGCAAAAAAACGAAAGTAGCCTAAAAAATGTTCTCTCTGTAAATTAGTGTAAATACAGCCCGTATGACAGAGGAGTATACCAGATATTTTTTATTAATCTGTATATACTATTATTTCAATATTCATTAAGGTATTCATCCAAGAGTGTGATAACAGGGAGTGTGGCGTTGCCTATAAGAAGAAGTCAGAAATTTATGTTCCGCATTTCATCTATGTAAATAATTCTCACATCGGTACATCGCATATAGGAACCGACGGATGCACTGATCTCTAATAGTCGACTCGGGAGTTAGAAGCTAATGACATGCACCTGATAGAGGGCGCTACACAAAACAGGCATAAGTGACTGTACAATGTACACATTCATACCAGAAGATCCACTCTCATCTAAATGTACTCCTATTTCAGTTTGTATTTTGATCACTGTGTTATCGGTTTCCATTTTCTGAATTTTTAAAGTGTGCATGACGGTACAGGATTTTCTTTTCTATTTTTGGCTGCCTATAACCAGTAAGTCAAGAATAGAGTGGGAATGATGCTGATACGGCGGTACATTGTGGTATAAGCAGACGACGCCAAGGTGTTTTATCATACTAGTGCGGAATAGTCATGTACTTGCGCGGAGAAAAGTTCGAACTCCATCATATTGGCTAATATTCAATCACACACATGTTACTGCTGATCCAAAATACTTCTTTGCGAGCTGGTGAATGAAGGATCCGAATTCAAATAGCGTCGATTGGCCGTAGTGTTCTATCCAAGGTATCGAAGTAATATGCCAACGATAACAGTCTTTGTGGCAAATACGACCAGTTTCCCCCATTCCACCTGCAAAGCCATTTTGGTGAAGTTGGGGCCTTTCTTCCTCTCCGTTTGGAAAGCTGCCGTGTATCAGTGGGCCATGGGTACAATTTTTTTTTTCTGTCGAACGCATTGACCTGAAAATCTCACACAATAAATCCAGTGTGACCGTCCATGGAATAATGTCACGGAACTACCGGCTTGCCTGCGGAGGGAATGAAATCTGATTCCAAAGCCGCCTAACACAGACAGCCTGAGAGTTGTATCATGGTCCGCAGTGTTGAAACGAACCGTGACCCGCATTTTGATTCGGACCAGGGCTGGTCGCACGGGTGTCAAACAAGGTTTTTGTTTGGCCCAACAAAGTTCTTTTATAGTTTGCCAGATCGTTCAGTTGCATTGTCCATAGCAACTGGAGACCTTGAGCGAAACCTTCCCCTCTACTGCGCGCGCCGGGGACGAGGCTTAGTGCTTCTCAGCCATTGTTTGCACCTGGTGCTTTTGCCAAATAAGTAAACTTTTGTCGAAACAATATGTGTGCGTGCACCGTAAACGAGCATTTTCCGCTCCACACAACATCTGCAGTCCACTTGAATACGGGATAAACCCAATCTCGCTTTGCAGTGCACAAGGTATTGGTATAGCGGCTTTCGCGTGGCAGCCATCTTGCAGGGCAGTTCTTTTGTTCCACAGGGAAACTTCCTTTGTGCATACCCTTTTGAACAAAAGAACTGTCCTGTGAAATGGCTACCAGGCAAAGCCTCTATTAAACCTCAACAGCCCTGAAAAAGGGAATTTGAGTTATTGCTCTCAACATGCCACACATCCAAGCAAGTGCCCAAGTAGTGGAAGGTGCATCGCCAGTGGATAAAAAATGTATTTAATCTCGTCGCTCTAATATTACAAAATATACACAAAATATATTAAATTTAATCCTAGTTATACACGCTGCTTAAGTCGAACTACACTCGCATAAAAGTACATGTCGTAACTTGGCAGTCCATTAAAAGTAACTTTTTTAACATGTAGAATGAAAATTGTAAGGTGTTTGTGTCTGTCATTTGATGTTGTGATGAGTCTTTTCTGCTACCGACTGTTATCACGTATCCGTGGCAGGTGGTTTCCACAGAGTGCTGGCTGGCCGTAGCCAAAGCATTAGGAGGCAGGCTTATTCTCAGTCATTTCAGTGAATGTACATGGGTGTGTGTAGGGGGTGGAGTCATTCTATGGAGGGGCGGGCGGGATGGGTTGGCCATCGTATTCACTTTGGAGCTGATGACACAATGAGTTATGTAGGCCTAAAGGCCACAATCCTGCACTTAAGTTCGAGACGGGGGAGCTGGGGTGTGGGTGTCCCCCTGTTTTTGTGTTTGTTAGTTGGGGGGGGGGGTGGCGTATCACATGACAACCAGTACATGAAAAATACTGCGTATCATGGGACCATGATCCAAGCTCTAACATGAAACCAACACGCAAACAGAAGCTTCGCTATGTTCATGCATACCGAGCTAGCTTTCCCTCCTGCCTTCCTGACTCACCAGGCTGTTAGGGTCACGGTGCCGAAGCTGCAATGCTGGGGGAAGCTTTTACAACGAGCACAAGTGACGAAGTACATGTACATGTACAGTGTACATGTGCGTGTAGCTTCACCACTTGAGTGTAGTCTCCGCTCGATCCACTTCACGGCTTTGCAGCTCTCTGTACTTCCCATTAAGCCTCGAAGGCCTTTGCAAACGGCTGGCACCGGGCTTATGAAGAACTCAGCAGTATCAGTCTTGAATTCAGACGCTAACAACGGGTGTTACTGATTGTAGATTGTGCTACGTTTACTTTAAATAAATACAAGGCAAAAGTTTAATTGAGCGACAGCTAGGGGGCTAAATAGTATGTATAACTCCATGATCAAGGTCACTGCAAAGACCGATGTAAGCAATTACGACAGTACACGTTTTGCCTGGTATCCATATAGAGCCAGAAAATTGACCCCTGATGGCGCACTTCCGGAACCCTTGGAAAGGAAAATAACGTGCAAAGATTTTAGAATTTATAATATTTTTCTTTCAGTTAAATATTAGCTACTATATCAATTTATAGTAACTGAAAAATCACATGACCTAAAAGGGAAGTATCCTGCAAAAAATTGACCCATCACTTCCGAAAATCTAAACTGCATGAAGAACAGTGCAGTTCGCCAGTCTCGTACACAGTTGAATATTTACGGTTTGAAATTTTATGGTTATCAGTCGGTTATAAAACCGAAATTAAAACAGATATTTTAAACAGTCTTATAATTTATAAGTAGTAAACCTAAAGCAATATTTTACTTCAATTACGAAAGATTCTAATCTTTATCTAACCTTTGCTGACAACAAGTGCATGATGTCAACTCAACGGAATACGCAACGCATCAACCGCAAGTAGGTAAATCTTTGCAACGTTGTACAATCTCGTTTTCTTGTAAGCACGGGCAGTAAAAACAAACGTGCATGAACATGGAGACCGAGGTACAATATCGCCGGAAGTGAAAGGTCGTTACGAAAATTCGTTTTTTACAGATCTCAATGTAACTTTTCCTAAATATTACTTGAGGAAGACAAAGGTGAAATTCCAACAGGAGTGTTTCATGGGGTGGTTTCAGTAAGGAATTATTCTTTCGAAAATTATCGAACGTGATAGGACGGACCAACGTAAAATCCCCACAGGAGGACCGCGCGAGAGTTCTGGAAGCTCGGTGCGTGACCTTTTACTTTCAGGCTCTATTGCCTGTAAATTTACCATTACACTGAACGTCCCCCGTGACCCGATCAATCATGTTACTTAGTCACAAAGTTTGAGCGCAGGTTCCATGCATGCTATCGATGCCGTGGTTTTTATATCGACCCAATATGTACATTTATGCGCGCCGAATACCATTAAAGCTACGCCGAACTCTACTCACTGGCTTTTACCGCACGAAGAAAACATAGGGGCTGCAGCGGGCCAGTAACTCATATACATGTAGGTCCCAAATTGCCTGTGCAGACCGAATCACGACTTGTAGGCTGTCAAAGTCTCTGCGCGTTTTTCGTGGCACGTGGACTGGGTGGTTTGTCAAAAAGGTGGATGAAATCCAGGTGCAGGACTGTCAGCTTGTATTTCTGAAAGTATCGGACCGAACTGGGCCCTCTAAATTGCTCTATTTCGCCATGGAGTGTAGGCATCAATTTCCAAAATGGCGATGGGCCTCTTGACTGTTTTGAGGGATGATTTCCTCTGGAGAGAAATATCTTCAAAAGTCACCGGTTAAGCCACTGAAATTTGAAAGGAAAATGAAAGATGAGGAAGTGAGCTTTAATTTGATATGTGTCTTGAACAGCTGTTCAACTTGCCAGAATTTTTCCTAATTTTTGAAGTGGGGATATTTATCACTGTTGTCTATGGCAACTTCTTTACTGGTCTGAACCCATGATGAAGCGAAGCTCTGTGACAGGATCGATTATCAGGCGAGGACATCAGTGGTGTAAGTGGGGTGAAAGAACTTTTACAAGCGTGGGAAAACTCTGTATGGTAGACTGGCTTTGTTGTCCCTACATAAACCTCACTGAGGTTACGAGGCAAGCAGTACAATTGGATGCAGAAAAGGCTTATATTATAATTACCCACTGACAATTTGGGGATCAGTAGGACACTGCGTGAGATTAGGATCAGAGAGGTTTATGTGTGACCAACCATTCTACAACTAGGCTAAAGTTGGTATATGTATTACAAATTTAATGTTGGACAACCCCCCCTGCAAATTTTATCTTAAAGCGCGATCCGCATTGCAAACGCCTTGAAAGCTGTGGTAGTTGAGGACAAAGAAAGTTGTGGAATTTGCATTGCTCGTGTGACAATGATGTCATTTTCAAGACAACACCTAAAAGAAGCCTTCAATTTAGTTTTAGAGCAAAGTGGGCCACATATTTCTTGCAGCGGGATCTCTTTTTGAGAGATGATTTCTAACGAAAATGGGGGAGGTGTGGTTGCCCGCAACTTTTTCTCTAACAGGTGAGTCTCTTTTTTCTAGTCCAACGGTCCGAACTTCTGCTAGTGTTTCTGTGTTACTCTTCTGGGGAAATCACTGAAATTTGTAAACACTCTAACTAATGAATTGGTTCGACAATTCTTGCAGCATGTCCCGGCCCTAATCCCCAAAGACAGATGGGTGGGCCTTCTTCCACCCTTTAACCTATGGATTAGGCCTATGTGGCACAACTTCAGTGCGTTGCACCTTGTAAATTAGTCCTTGGTTACACCATCTGCTCCACGTGTTAAAGAAAGGATACTATCTGATCAAATCGTGAAAAACCTGTTTCGTTCCGTTCTGGTTCGATTCGATATGCACCTAGGGACTTTTCAGTTGTTTGCTCATTGATGGCATTACACAGAGTCTGAATAACATGGAAGCAAAATAAAATGGAATATCAGACGTGGAATGTGTAACCAACAGCACTGATACAGGTATAAGATTGGATACGACGTTCACTTTAAAATGAGACATTAAACATCGAAATCTGATTGTTTTGACAGACTTATGAATGATTTTTCCACGAAAAGTAAATTGGCCAGAGACCAGATACCGAGATAATCGATTCTATCCGAATGTTGCAAGTGTTGTAATGTGGATGAACTGTCAAAGATTACATCCTTTCAACAGCCCTTTTTCTCGCGGGATACTAAAGGCGAGATCATCTCTCCATGGCTCCCATCGCTCTTCTAATAACAGCTGGAGTCTGCCTCCGGACGTCAATCTCAGCTGTTATTTTGTCACTAAGAGTCTGCACGTCCGGAGGGGCAATGTTTACAACTTGGATTTTAAGTACCAAAAGACGTAAAAAATCACATGGGGGAGGTCTCTAGATCTCGGTGGTAATACATGATTCAACGCCACGACACTGTGGCCAAACACTTTTTGAAGGCAGTTCTGGACAGACAGTAAACGATGAGCCAGAGCGCCATCTTGAACTCACCATAAGCATCTAAACACACCATGCTCCCAAATTTCAAAATTTAATTCAAGGATTGGGAAGACATTATAGCGGTCCGACGATGAGGCAACTACCGCAAAGGCCAATTGATCCAGACACTCACTTTCTCATCACAATGGAAGTTGCTCTCGTATATGGGAGGATAGATGTTGGTTGGGGGCTTACTCTCGAACACTGCGTGAGTTGAATTTTGCGTCGAGAGACAATTCAGCTTCATCGTTGATGAAGAGATGCTGGACGAATCACAAGTCTGCCTGGGAGTGGTCGACGATGCGCTGATGAAGCTTATCCGTCTTGGCAAATCTGCCGGTAGAAGCCCATGTCGCATTGGGCCATGCCCATGCAGGTCCAGCCCAGTGGCTTGCGGGTTGACATCCAGTTGCGCCTTCACCAATTCGGCGACCGCTGACCTCCCTGTCCAATGTCGCCCGAAAAGCCCTCGACTAAGATTGAGGCTGGTAACCCCCCCTCCCAGGCCCCTAGGCATCAAATTTCAATGGCTGAACACAATCCATCCCCGTGCCTAAAATGTTAAGCATGTAAACATGTTTACAAACTCTTGCCAGAAAGAGTTTAGAAACGGAATACACATTTTTTTTTGTAGGCCAAGCAATTGTCCACGCTGAGACAGTTAAGCTACCTTTGTCCCAATGCCAGAAATGGAAAACTTGGTCCCACAGTCAATTTGATTTCTCTTGGTAAAGTACTCATAACTTTTTAAAAACTGTGAGACTAGGACGTTTAATGTCTCACTTCAAAAGTGGAACTGCATATCTTTCAAACCATACCTTTGTTATCTGTGTTTGTTCCACTGTCGAAACAGACGCTAACCGTCCGTGTACATTGTCTAATCGTGGAGGGTGCGTCTGATTAGCTAACACAAGGCAACCCACACATGGGGGTGGCCGTGCTTGATGTGTAAAACTAGCGTGACGGTGGGGGACGAGGTTTAACCAGCTAAGTCATGGAAGCCAATCGAACACACCGGCTTGGGTTAGGTTGTTTGCACTCTATTTCCAGTCTACGTTATGCATGGATGGCATTTCATAATACACTTCTGTGATGTAAACGGTGCTCAGTGCAGTGCGCTCACCAACAAAGTGACAGTGGCCAAAATGTATCGGACTAGGCTTTTGACGAAATGTCCGCCCGTCAAAAAAGGATGGCCCGTGACGACCGTCCCCTGGTCGCGTTCCAAGACCGTTCTCCTGGAGAAGACGGCATCGGCAACTGAGGTACCGAAAACGGTTAGACCATTCGAGGAGATACCCGGCCCCAAACTCTGGCCAATCGTTGGATGTCTGCCCAACTACCGGGCGAGTGACTTCAAGCCCGAGCAGTACCACAAAATGTGGCAGCGCAGGTAAACACGATCCTTGAAATTTTGAGTTCAACACCATCAAGTTATATACAGCGCGAGTTTTGAACAAACAAAGCCATCGTTCAGGTTGGACCTGAAATGCCAGTCATGCTCTTATATCATTGCTTTTGGACTGTAGAGAGTCACAAAAGATTCTGACCTGGACATCACAGAAAGTTGTACAAATTGAGGAGATTATCAGGCCTCACGCGAACTAAAGCAGCAATGGTAAAATGCCTGTTAGTGCGCAGCTCGAAGCCCCTTAGGCGCTCTGTGCTGCATTTTCCGGCAGTATGGCCCCTCTTTTCTTCTTCCCTCACCCTGTTCCTTCATTTATTTTTTGGGGGAAGGGGCGTACGCCCCCACCTGAATACACCACTGATCGCGGCGCACTAACCTTCGTAGTACGGCAAACCCACGAAGCAAGCTATGCGGACAGACACAACGGAGCGCACTGCATTCACGTACATGTACACTGTACATAATGCACTTACGTGTACGTGTCATGCGTGACGTGTACGAGTCATGCGTGGCCTATGGCGTTGGATGCGCGTAGCGTGCATTTGGACAATACAAGTAGGATGGGTGAACGCGCGCGGATTAGACTATCGTGAACGGGTGCACGCAGCCACCCTCTATACACGCAGTGGGTCAGATTTGCCCAACACAAAGCTACGATATCCCCCAAAATATAAAAGTCGGTGAAGCGTAGCATCGTCGTGGACATATACCCAAAGTCATCTGTGAGAATTTCAAAGAATTTCGGGAAGGGCCACGAAAGTTTTGAGCATGTTCCAAATTATAGTGGTACATCCACATCATTTTCAAAAGATGGGGCAATCACAGAACAATCGTAATCTAATCTAGCACATTCTTAGGGTCACAGTTTAGACATCATAAACATCGTTTATAATCGTGGCTTATGACGATCTTATGACGATTCAATAAGAATTTATGAAACTTCGTTACGACTTTTGCTACGTATAATGATGGTGATAAATTTTCATCTGCCTACATAAAATCTCAAATGAAACATAAACAATTGTCTATTTACCGTAGAGTATTCATAACTCTAGTGGATCAGAACCGTGTGACAACGTAGTAGATCGTAACATATCTCACGTATGTTCTCCCTCAGGCATTCTGTGCGCCACTTAGTTATATGAACCAAGTTGCACGAAATTTGAAACGAATTCTGAAAAGGGGATTTAAAAAACACGATCAGATTTGAAGGAAAAAAAGTCCACGGTCTTTCCCATTTTAAAACCACTTCTCCAGTTTATCCAAGCAAACAAAATAAAGTGCCTTGTGTATTAAGACCCGATAAAAACATCAGTAGTATTTTCAAGTTATCGCGAACTTGAATATTTTGCACGAGAATCATTTGTCCGTAGTAGGGCATGTATACGTGCATTGATGGATTACATGTACATGTGCATGTAGGTGCACATGTACATTAACAAGAAACACATCACAAAATGAAATCTGAAGCCTGATTATATTTCTCTGTTATAAATTCAGCAAACTTTTACACAATGCGAAAGATCTCCGCAGATGGATTTTGGTATAGTCGTTTGCTGGCTGGCGTCGCCATTTTAACAAGCAACAGAAAGTGACCTTGAGTTTGCCGAATTTTAGCGCATGCGCACAAATTAAGTGGAAGTGGTGAACATACGTGATCTCGGCGAAAACGAAATGAATCTGCTTCATATTTGTACAAATTTCCTTCATTTGCGTACTATTATCACAGAATAACCGTCATTAGCAGAAGGAAGTTGCAATGGGGGCCCTGTGTCACCTGAATCATTATGATAATCACGTCCGCAGTTAATCGAAGACTATAAGGCTGCAATCGTGACAGTGTGACCTAGGGCTTACACCGCTTCCACATAAAATGGCTTGATAATTGCTCAAATGAAACCATCTTTCAGTAGAGGATGTTAAATCCGAGCGACAGAATAAAAATAGTCAACATTAGTACTTTGTGCATAGTTTAGAATATTTAAGTCTGTAGAATTAGGGCACTTTCCATATTGGTATTTGCTGGGCTTGCCTTGGCTTGGCAAAGAGTTGTTTTTAAAGTCACTTAATACGAAGTATTAAGTTATTCCCCAGAATAACGAGTTATTCCCCAATCAGGTACGAGGAGTACGGAAAGGAGAGCAAAATAGTGGCGGAGCGAGTGTTTCATCGTCAGTGGGTCAACGTCTATTCACCGGCCACAGCAAAGCAGGTGTTTGCCCAAGAGGGCAAGTATCCTGAGCGTCCTCGGGTGGTAATGTACATGCTACGCAAGGAACATCTCGGACATTTAGGAGTTGCGATGGGGTAAGAAAGAGATATATGACTGCGTGTTTTGTGGTGGCTTATGACGAAAGAGGAGAACTCTCTCTCTCTCTCTCTCTCAGAGAGAGAGAGAGAGAGAGAATCAACTGAAGGGGAGAATCAACTAGTCCTGAAACATGGAAAGTACTTATCGATATACAAAGCAATTTGTTTGTATTTACATACAAACACAAATACGAAGAGACAAACAAATGAATAAAAAATGTGAGATAATAACATTTTCAGCAGTTACTGACTGTAGAATAATTGTGGTGGATACGGCATTAAGTACGGGTACAGTGCACTTCAAATTTTTGGCTGATTTGACATATCACATCCCGAGTATAAGAAGGCAAATGTTACCATACTTCATCGACGAGTTTGACTAAATCGACCCGGTTCCACTTTCAGCGTCTGGCCCATTATGCACAATTGTTCGTATGAACATTCTGCCTTCGTAAAACAAGAAACTTCGTGCCACACAGAGTGAGTGGAGTTAAAGGAACATGCTTGTTCTTAATTCTTGATGAAATCATTAGACACTTTGTCCTCAGTGTTGAGCGGAGACCCCGAGTCTTTTAAGCTAAATTTCCCCAGTTGTCTTTCTTCTCTAGGAAGACAATACCAGCTCTCAACTCAATCAAAATATCTACAGCTGGCAATTTGTTTTTTCCGGATCCTGTTGAATCTTCGCAGGGAGGGCGTGCAATGGAAACAAGGACGGAGTCTCTGGAATCGGAAAGTGCTCCGGCCCCAGGCTGTGGAAGACTACATTCCCCGTATCAACGACGTCGTGGATGACTTCATTGAGCACATTCGTCATTTGGCAATGGCCGGACCGCGAGAAGTTGACGGACATCAGCTGAAGCCTGGGGAGGTGCCAAATCTTCTGACAGAAATCATGAAATGCTCCTTGGAGAGTGAGCTTCATTTAAATTTGCAGTTCCACTGGTTGCAACAAACCAATGATACATGTAAACGTGGTCTTATAACTGAAAATACCGGTCAAGGGTAAACGCGATAAATGTTTCTCGGATACTATTAAACACCGTAACCATTTGGGGGAACAGTCCACTAATTCAAGTCCAATTGAAAACAGTTTAAAATCCGCACCGTTCAGGGCCCAATGACATGCATACCAGCATCCCTGAGATTTCTGAAACACAAATTCAATTATTGTCTGGTCCCTTATCTCTCAATTTCTTTTCATTTTTTTGTGGGTTAACCAATTATATATATACACTTACACTTATACACAAAATCACCCCCCCGAAAAGTGATTTTTCCGAAGTCTGATTGCAGCCATTTTTCAAGTGGCAACCCTCAACTTTAAATTTCTTGGGCACTTAAGACCATTTTTCAACCGTAGTTTTTAGCCACTCTGCTCTCATATGAAAGCTAAAAGACCAAGGGAGTTGATCCTGGGAACGATTTACGCAATTTCACCCTTTTGGGGGCCAAATAATATCCTTTTTCAAAAGATACTGGGGGTTGGGGAAACACATTATTTTTAATGCTAATGAGCTAGTCAGAAATTCTCACTTGAATTAGTGGACTGCACCCTTGGGGTTTAGTGTATGTGAAAGTGCGCATTTGTAAACATAAAAAGTCAACGTTATTTCGAACAACCGAGGGCGCTGTTCGTGTAATGTCATCCAGGGAAGACGACACTGCACATTGTTAGGTTTTCCTGTTTAAAATCATGAATCCAAAATTTGCTTACCGTAACATTTGAGAACGGTGGTTTGTTACCCTTATTTTCAAAACGTACACGATAATATATCACCAACGAGTTGGACGGCCAAATATGAAAGTCCATTTTTTGTTTGTGGCCAAATCAATGTAACTGCGATTTTCTGCCCGATATAACATCACAGTTTTGCTCCCGAATATGGTAGTTCACATAATTTTAATAACCAAAAAGGAATCAAAATACCATTCGAAGTATAAACAAATAAAACAACGTTAACTGGTGCACAAAGGGGCATTTTCAATGGTTGCATTAAAACAATTTTCTTGCACAGACCCTTAACATAAACTTCCTCTATCTGAAAGCACAAGCTGATTATTCAGGCATATTCACGGTTTTGCACAGTCATGCACAGCTGTACATGTTTATTATCCTTAGAAGGCACGAGCATGGAATATGTTGGCAATAAAGAATATAGCTTTACACTGATAATTCTTCTTAAGCTTACAAAAAAATCAGTTAAAAACATTATCCAAGTTTTACTAATAGGGTTAACTGTTTGATTTGTCACTTTCATGCACAGTGATGGGATCGATTACACTGAGTAAGCGTCTTGGAGGGATCAAACCAGGTCTCGATCTTGACTTGGACGCACACCGTTTCTTGACGGAGAACACGCTGTTCTGGCCCCATTCGACGAAGTTGGACATGTCGGCATTTCAACTCTTCAGGTACTTTCCAAACAAGACGTACAAAGCCATGAAGCGACACTGGCTGAATATGTGCACGATAACATCCAAACTCATGGAGGAATACAGTGACAGGATGAAGGTGAGAGGCAAGGTTTCTTTTCCGACTTAAACAGGGCAGTTAAAAAATATCCCATCAGGCGCAAACAGCCATGGATCGTGAAATAAAACTAACCGTTTTCAGACAGTTTCAGCTTTTCTAGCGAATTGCGGAAATAATTTATGTAAATTGCTAATTTAGTCTGAAGAGTTACGAATGTACATAACATGTTTTCGTTCTCCAGAACGGTAAGATACTGATATGAATGTTCACTTGTAATCCCGAAAAGGAAACCCTTGAGAGCGAGGACTTGGGGGAGGACACGGCTCCCGATGTTTATTCCTATTTCCTTGCCAAGAACACACCAGCTACTGAGCTTCTGGGGCACATGCAAGATCTCCTCCAAGTTAGTATGGATACGGTAAGTGGTCCTGGCCGAGACTTGGGTCCAAAGGGTGTGATGCGGGCCTCCATTGTCGCCAAGTGCTGTACTGTTTTGACGAAATGATATCTTTCCGAGTGAGCCGCCGTGCGCAAATTTGACATAAAACTGTACCCTATGGTAACATCCAACGGGATACTTACAAATGTGTTCGTGGCTTTCTATAAAATATCACATCAAATTTAAAGTATGGTCAAAAAGTTGGCGTACTTGGATACGTTTAGGAATCGCCTCAGGGACACCGAGGACAGGAATTATGTTAGACAGCGACCAGGATTAATATCCTCAGCAGAAAACTGCGGCAAATCCCGATTAGAACAGTTGCCGAATACTCGAGAGGAAAACATGGAAACCCTTTAAGCGCGTAGATGACCAAACTGTAACGTGTTTGTCCCTATGCTTAACTGAAAACCACTTTCATTGTCTGCACAGACGTCCAACTCTATGAACCTGCTGCTGTACTGCATAGCGAGCAACCCTCGAGTCCAGGAGAAACTATACAATGAGGTTAGTGAGGTTCTTCAAGGAGGCAGTGTGACAGTCGATAAGTTGAAGGATCTGAGGTACCTTAAATGTTGCGTCAAGGAATCAAGCAGGTTTGTGAATATTAATTCCAAGAGGTAAAACATTTTACCATGAGGGCGAAAGGCATCAGACTTGAAGAAGACAGAACAAGCAACCCAACATGCAAGGCACGAAAAGTCCTGATTTACTTTGGAGGCAACAAATTCATCGTAATCCTGTTTCAGAAATGTTTGATTCACTCTAATTTAGCAAGCTAAGATATCGCATAATAAGTGTCTTAAATTACAAAATGAAAGATGGAACTGTTCGTATTCTAAAACGAAATAAAAAATGACTGTTGTTTTCGTTTTTAAGAAGTAAAGCGAGAAACGACCTGTTTTTTCTTTATTTTTTCGTTTCAAATGGCAAAACGAGAAACCATTCGCTTTTAATTTACGCTTCTCTTTTTCACACTGAAAAACAACAAATCAATTAACGAAACGTACACGGATCTCACTAAATACATTTCTTCGCGAATACTCAAATTGCTAAGCGCTTCGTTTTTGTCCCACTGAACGTCGAGCTTTCAATAGCAATAAAATAGCAATACAGTTCAGGAAAAAAATTCTCTCGATTGATCTCCAGGATCTCAATTATTGTAACTGATTGACAAGATGACACGGCCCGGATGCTCTTTGCGATTCAATTAATCGATTGTGGTCGGAAACGAATTTCGATAATAAAAATGATTATGGCCGAATTTATCCCTTCGTAAAACCCTTGTTTTAGCTCCTATAATGGTCAATACATTGGTCAATATACCAACGACCTTCACTTTTGGGCAATTAATTTCAAACAATGGTTATAATTGATCCCAATCAACTACCAATGGTAGTATCGGTAAGATTCTTAGAACATGTTGATTTTTCCAACAGAGCATGCAAGTAACGAGTCCTTTTTGTGATTCACGGCGCACGCTTTCATGACTGTTTCTGTAACGTATTAATCTCATTCCTTGCTTCCTCAGTTTCCTGTTTATTTATTTACCAACTCCTTTCTACTGTACGTCTTCCTTTTCTATGGGCATTCTTTAGATTCTGGAGAATTTGTAGAGTGGAAACTTTCTTTCAGTATATTCCATTACTTAACCTCAACTAATCCACCTCTCCACACTTCACCGCACCCCAGGCTACCCTATGCCTTACCTCCCTCATCTTTCTTTTACTGCGTCTCACCCAACCTTGCCTCAACAAATCCCACCTCACTTCCCCTCGCCGTCGTGACCTCATCGCCGCCAATCTGTACCTCACCTCAACCCAGTTGACCTTACTCACCTCCTTCTCATCTCAAGTTACCTCATCCATCTCGCCTCGCCTCACCAACCTCACTCAACCCATTTCATCTCACCGTTGCGACCGCAACCTTGCCAATCCGCACCTTACCTCAACACATTTGACCTTGACCTCACCCAACCTCATCCCATCTTATCTTGTGTCAGATCACCCACATTTCAACTCAATTTTAATATTTTACTCTTGTATAGTTCTCTCGTAGTCATGGAAGGTCGTAAAGATAAAACGGAGATCAAATAAAAATCAAAATTAGAAACTGTGTACACGCATACTGTGTAATTTTGTGTTCTCTGCACAAGAATTACGTCAGATGTGCGACCAACGAGTTTTATACACTGATTGGCAAGATTTTCAATAAATTCAAATTCCTCAAGCTTTCCTGTGTCTTATCCTTTATGTTAGAATGTTCATGACTATCCCCGGAACATCACGTATTCTCGACCACGACATCGTGATAAATGACTACAATGTTCCCAAAGGAGTAAGTTGAAAGTAATTGTACATGTAGTTTTCACACACAGTTACGCCATAAAGATGTCAAGCATAGGAGGCCAATTTCATCGTTTTTATGCTATTTTGGTACATGTACAACAGTTGCTGTATTTCCTGATGATAGTGTACACGTAACTGTCTTAATAAGTTTTTAGCGAGAAACCAGCACATAAACCAGCCAAAACACATACAATTTCACTTTCTAGAGGATGTCACTGCAATGTTTGGTCCACGGGCTTATTCATTGTAGATATATTTTGTATTTCAATTGCAACAGACCTACATTAACATGTGCTTCCAAGTCATGTGTCGGGATCCGGAGATTTTTGAGGAGCCCAACGAATACAGACCGGAGCGCTGGCTTGATGTCCGTAAGGCCCCAGACATGGCATTTTCACATCTCCCCTTTGGATTCGGCCCCCGCAGCTGTGTGGGAAGAAGGCTGGTCGACCAGGAAATGTACATTTTGCTTGCCAACGTAAGTTATTCATAAAAGTGGATATTAAGCAAACACTGCCACAATGCTTTATAAGATTTAATCGGAGGTCAGAATGTGGAATACACAGATAGACTGATCCATCCTTCAACCCACCGGTGTTTCGTCACATGCATTTCAAATCCTAAAAACCAACAGAAAAACGCCACACCGTGTAAGTAGTGTGTCAATGATCCCGGTAAGCAAAGACGCTAGATTTTATCCACGCGACTAAGTCAGGTGGTAAGTGCGCGTTATATAATTATGCATCATCAACAAACAGGATGCGAAGTACATGTACACGTGCGCATGAGTGTGGTGTCACAGCAGTAATGGTGTCTCATTGGATCAATCTACATGTGTATATATTGAAGGCACGTGTTGGTTTGGGCATAAACATTTCGATAAACACTTAAAAGCAATTTTCAAGCTTGGTTTATTTTTTCGATGAGTAAGTGAATAAACTTAAATAATTAAAGACCAACGATTTTCACTGGGCGACAGTCACTTGAAAAGGTAGGGAGAGGGAGATAAGCCCCCCCCCACTGATCGACGCCCTGCCCATAAGAAATGGCTAGACAGTCGAAATCATAAATGTGCATTAAGTACTCTTTGTAGCATTCCTTGCAACTTGACTGCCTCAATATGGAATTGTGAGCGACACTTGCGTTTTTTCCTCATGCAGTTGGTGTCAAAGTTTCGTATCGAGAATCTTTGCGACAGTGAACCTGACTTGAAGTGGATTGGGATTAATCTGACTGCATCTGAGCCCGTGCGACTCGCCTTTCACGAACGCTGAGGGTGTTGTACAACAGATAGCGATTTTGGCAATGGATCACCACAAGCAAACCGGTTTTTATTTTTATTCTTTTTTAGAGCTGAAGAAAGTTTAAGAGTCCATAGAATACTTCTCTCTCAAATACAAACTTCATGTAAATTCCCACTCCTTTTACATGTATAAATATTATTCCACTAATCTTTTTCTTAATTGTACTGTATATATAAGGACACTTGTAATCATTAATATTTCCATGTTATTCCTGACAAATGAAGGCGCTGCTGCTGTGGTGTCATTGCAGGAAGGCAAAGTTTTTCTGCTCGAATTGTGAAACCAAAATTACTGTACATATGCGTGAGAAAACTTTGCTTGCTGGGTTACTTTTATATTATGGGTTTTTCCCTTACCCAACGTATATATTGATGAACACTGTAAGAGCATACAGTGTTTATCAATGTATACGTTGGGTAAGGGCAAAACCCGTTATATAAATTAACATCTCTCCAAGGCAAAAATACATCTTGAAATACTGGGTTACTGTTACGAAGTCAAGCAACAACAAATCACAAAAGAAAGAACATTTAAAACTAGAAATTGCATTTGTGGACAAACACAAGCTGTTTGTGATGACGGTGATGACCGTCATGTCACTGAATTATGTGAATTACCTGATCACAAGGTTATAACTGTCTTAAGCTGTTTAAGTCTGAAGGTTGCACCACAGGAATGCCTAACAACATCACTACATTTCATTTTCACGTATAGCAGGTACCTGTAAATACTCACAAGTTTTAACCCAATCCAGCGGACAGTATACAGGGTGTCCACGAAAAAAACAAAGCCCGAGGAAAGGGGTTAATATGCCCAAACCATGAGATATGATTATAATGTATAAGGATCTCCGAAAAGTAAAAGCAGTATTCTTTCTAATAATACCTTGATTGTATCCTTCCTGCCATGCATGACTGAACACCATTGTCTTGAAAACGGGACATCCGAACTCAGTTGTAACAGTTTCGATGCGTTCCGGCAGCCATTGAGCAAACTCCCGTTTCCTCCTGAGCTCTCCACGCAAAGGCGGTGACGGATGTGCATTCGGTATGGATGGAACTGCAGGTCTGACTGCGTTATACGGTTAAACGAAGAATGGGACAGTCCAAGTCCATTCCTCCTGCAACTGGTTCCCCTTGGCTGTTCGACAAGTTGCTGTCGAACTGCAGCAATGTTTTCAGGAGTTCGCACTGTTCGCCTCCTTCCTGAATGACCCTTATTCAAATTAAGATTTGTCCCATGTTCTCGGTATTTGCGCACATTTTCAAAGATGGTCGAATTTGCCGGTGGATCCCTATCAGGGAAGGCTTCCCTAAATGCAGCTTGGGTGGCTTGAAAGCTCTGGTTTTCAAGAAATTCACTCTTTGCTCTTTGGTAAGTTGCACCATGTCGCAGACTTGTTGTCCTGCTTCGAACACTTTTCAACACTGCACTGGCCTACCTTGGGGCAAGTCAACACATTTAAACCAGATTATTGCAACCTTTTGTTGTCACTTTAAACCAGGACAAGCATGACAGAGGACAACCTCATTCACTGGTTTATCCAAAGTGTTACAACTGAGTTCGGATGCCCCATTTTCAAGA